GGTGGGGGGCGGGTTTTGAGCCCTGCAGGGAGCTGGGGCTGGGGGCTGGGCCGGGGCTCACCGCAGACCCTCAGAGCCCCCCGCTCGGGAACGAGGACCGTGCCTTCCCGCAGGCAGCACCCAGTCGGGAGAACAACCACGAGGCCGGCCGGCCGGCGTCGATAATAACCCAGAGGTGAGCCGGCCGGTGCAACGGTGCTTGGTGTTTCAGGCCAGAGCCCACCCGTGGGGGTCGATCCGAACCGGCAAATGTCAGACCCCCACCACCTCCTTCCACCACCCTGCCTCTCGGACAGGCTCCTGCTCAGCGGGGGCCTGTGCGGGGCCTCCCGTTGGGTGGCCCGGCACCGAGCGAGCAGCTTGGGCACAGCCTGGCCGAGGGGTGCGCTAGGATGCGGAGGTCACGGACGGCGGCAGGGAGGCAGAGGCAGGGCCCGGGCGGCTTGTGTATGTCTGGCAGAGGCAGGTTGTCAGAGCAGATCCTGGCCCTCTCCTGGGTGTGGAGGAAGGAATCCCCCGCGGGGCGAGGGGCGCTCCGGTGGAGAGGGCGTTAGTTTTCCCTGGACGCAAACACTTTGGCCCTGACCTGGGGGATGGCGTCCAGAAACGGAGATCTCTTGTTCGGGGCCATGGTTTCCTTGGGTTCTGGGCATAATATCTATTCTAATTTATCTCGTGTTCAGGTTTTCCAGCCCCTTACTCAGGCCAGCTCCCCCTTCTTGGGACACAGCGGCCCCATGGCAAGAACCACAGACGCGCACTAAAAAGGTGATATTCCATGTCCACGTCTTGCGGGGTGGCCCTGAGCTTGCTTAGACGGTAAAATGTGAATTTTATTTCTTAAGGGCTTTCTTCGTACCTGGAGAAAATCAAACTCAGCCCAGAAAGGGAAAGATGATCTCAAATCCAGACTTGACTGATTTCTTCCCTGGGGGCTCTTCGCTCGGAGCCCGTCTTCCGCTGCTCTTGGTCCCGGCCCCGCCCTGCGTGACAGGTCGTTTCCGGGCTGGCGCACAGCGGCTCGGGGCTCACCTGTGCCTCTTATGCCGCGGGTCCCAGCGGCTGCTGGTGACTCTCCCTGAATCTGCCACCCTCTCCGTGGCTCTGAGTAAGGACAGAAGTGGGCGGGGAGGGGCTTTGCCGGTGGGCACACACCGCCCCAGCCTCCTGCCTCCGCGGCACAGGCAAAGTCTTGCCATCCTAGACCACAGGTGGCAAATTGTCTCCGTAAGGGTCCAGCGAGTAGAGACCTCGGGCTCTGTGGGCCACGTGGCTCCCGAAGCATCTTCTGTGCCCCAAGGCTCCGCCAGACAGAGTGTGAAGGAATTAGCCGGGGTGGAGCGGGGTGTGGGGGGACAGGGTGCTCTGGGATAACTTTATGGATAGACACAGAAGTCTGAACTTCCTATAATTTTAACCTGTCATGAAATCTTATTCTCTAGGGTTTGTTTGGTTTTTTTCGGCCCTTAAAAAAATATGTGAAAACCCATAGCTCATGGCTGTCATTTGCCAACCCCTGTCGGAAAACGTACGCCCAGCAGAGCGCGTGCCCCAAACCAGGGCTCACCACGTGTCCGGTGACTTGCTCATGAGAAGCCGCCTGGAAGCCCACCTCCCAGGGCCTCCCAACCCCTCCGAGTTACCGTGTCCTTTCGGAAGGACACGTCACCGGAGAGCTCAGAACGCAGTCAGAGGGCTTGCCCCGCACCAGCCCTGCCGCTGGCTCACCGCCGGGGTGTTGCCGCTTTCTTGCCAAATCTTGCAACCAACTGGCATTCTTTGCAGGTCTGGCCCACGTTTGCCGTGCGGGTGTGATGCCGGCAGCCGAGGGCCTCCACCAGGACTGGACAGTGCCACCTTGTCCCCCGAATGTCCCAGCCCCGTGCATCCACGCGGGGGAGCCCTCCCCAGCCGGGTCATACCCCGCCACCGAGGCCTGCGCGGCTGGGGCCTCCCGGAGACTTTGCCTTTCACCTTTCAGCACAATATGAGGACCACGGGGGACAGGATTCGTGCCACAGAACAGACAGGGCCGGAGGTCTCTGTAACTGCTTTAATTATTCAAACAATAGAGCACAAAGAGAACAGTTTCAAGTACATTGTGATACACGCTTTTAACAGGAATAGATACGCACTTAGTCACGAGGGAGGCGGCGGCGACACCGCGGGGACACTTCGCACAGACTCTCCACCCCACGCACCCGGAGGGCGCAGTGGACGCCGCGTCCCCTGGGAGCAGACCGCACCCTCTGGTGCCCGTATCGGGTTTCCCTACGGCGTGGCTCCCTTTTCTCAGCCACGAGACGGAGGATTCTGAATGTGAAGGTGGGTGAGCGGCTGTGGACGCGGAGCAGGGAGGGCGGGGCAGCAGTGAGAGGGGCTGCCACCGCTCCCAACTGTGGGGGGGGTCAGGCCAGGGTGCCCCCACACTGGTGGTCCCCAACAGATGGGTCCCTTGGGACCTGGCCCGCGCACCAATGCTCCCTTGGGCTGAGCAAGCTGACCGCTAACGAGTCAGGCAACCCACGAAACCAGAGCTGTTGGGGACGCCAGGGCTAGACTCAGAACGGGACGGTCAACAGACCTGAAAGCGCCAAATTCCACCAGGGACCGCGAACCTCGCACCTGCCAACCACCTAGAAGACCAAAGGAAAGTCTTTGACAGAGACCAACCGAGGACCACTCCTGGCTGGAGGGCCCGGCCCCATGGAAGCTGGCAGAGGGCAGGTTCCGGGGTGTGGGCCGGGCCCCCTGGCCCCAGCGCTGTTCTTCCAGGCTCACGGCCTCCTGGAAGAGGCCCAGCACGCTGGACCCGCCACACAGCAGCCCCTTGGGGGTCCGTGCTTCTGGCTGAGGACGCCACCCCAGGCCCGGCCTTATGCACAGCATCTCCAGCCCCTTCCTGAAGCCGTCGGGCTCCTTTCTGCTCCCGGGACCCAAACCAGCCTCCAGACAGGCTGAAGGTGCTCGGAGGCCCTGTTCGCATGCAGCCTCCCTCCCAGAGCTGAGCCTGCTCACACACTAGGCCCAAAGCACACGTCGGGACAGTAGCCTCTGATGCACCAGAACGCTGAGTGACAGCCAAGGGCCGAGCCCCTCTCAGCTGAGTCTCTAACACATGCCAAGCCTGAGGACTTCTCCCTCCAGACACAGCTGACCTAGGGCACCAGCCACAGGGTGTCCACTAAAATGGGACCATGCCCTAGGGAGGAAAGTCTACACCGAACAACCACTCCAGACAGACGGCTTGGACTCGACAACACCAACGTGGTCCAAGGACCCCAGCAGCCCAGAGACGAGCAGCTGCGACTGCAGGGGGTGGGGTGCGGGCCCCCCCCGGGAGCAGGTGGAGAATGTGCGCTTCTCAGTGGATCTGCCACGAGGGTCCCGGGGGGGCTCAGAGAAGGTCAACACTTGGCCCTCTCCTTGGGGACCCATCTGGAAATGGCACCCCCCCGACTTCACAAAGCAGTTAGGGGCCTCCTCCCTTCGAGGCCAGAGGACCAGGCTCTCCAAGTGGGGGCCACCCAGGGGAGGGCACGAGGTCTGCCGACAAGTACATGGAGCACGGGGAGAGAGTTCCGGGCTGCGCTAGCTCAGGGCTGGGGGGTGAGAGCAGAGCGGCTTCCGCACACAGCACCCCAGCCTCTGGAGTGCCCAGACACGCTCCCACGACAAACAGGAACAGAGCTGAGGTCTCTCCAGCGGTGGAAATAAACAAGCTGGTCTGGTTTCCTACTTTGGTTTCCTACTTGAGCTGATCTGAATTCACAGTATAAGCAACACATCTAAAGGTCACGCTGGGCGCTCCTGTCAGCACCAGGTTTCCCAGACAAAGAAGCCACAACAGAAAAGAAAACGGGGCTGCAACAGGGGTTCTTAGTTATTATATACTAACCAGTCTGTGCGCGGCACATTTTATTTCTATAAAACTATTACAAAATATTCAAAAATACATTTTAGTAAATTTACAGCAGTAATTTCTCAATTTATTAATGCAAAAACATCCTTTGTTTTTCTCTGTACAAACTACAGGCTCCATTCTTGTGGGCTTATCACTATGTGCGCTTTTAAAAAATATTATTTTCTAATAAATTCTTTGAAGTTAAAAATAACAGAGTTCTTCCAGTTTGTCCAAGAAAAGAAAAAAAAAGAAAAAAAGAAAAGAAGAGAAAAAAAGAAAAACGGTGTGTGTGTGTGTGTGTGTGTGTGCGCGCGCACGCGCGCGTGTGTGTAACAGTCTTGACTTCCAAGAACATGGCCAAAATGGAAATGATGGAGCAAATATTAACCCTTGAAGACATACAGGAGGTGGCTGTTACACTGGAAACTAGTTAAATTAAAATAATATATTTTCATATTTTACACTATTTCAAAAATGAAATGTCATTCAGTTAAGTATTGATCTCTCAAAAAATCTAATTTACAATTCTGTGTATAAAAATATAATTTGTGGACCCCCATGAAGCATGTTTCAGTTTACTCTTGCCAAAAAGCAGGCGTGGAAGGGAGGAGTGCGGAGTGCAGAGTTTTGCTTTCTGAAAGTTAGGGCGAGGGACGTGTAGAAAAATAGACTCTGAGCGGGTCGCTTGGCCTCACAAAATAATCTTTCCCCCGTGAGTACAGTTCACATGATAATAATAAATTATCCGAGAAACAAACTATTTAAGGCTCTTGAAGGTCCGGTTCATATTATTTAAAACATCTATTCATACCAAACAAATAAATAGCCAGGAGAGGTGAAAAAAAAATAACCAAAATAAAACAACCAAAAAATTCAAAAAAATATATATAAACTAAGCACGACGACAAAACTTCCCGGGGTCTCTGTTTCCTTATAGTCTACTTTGGACTGTCCTACTTTATTATTATTATTAATTATTATTATAATTAAAGTCTCATTCCGTGCGCTTTTCCGTGTGTCCTTTGCTGTTCCTCGCTGTCGCGCCCCCCGCCCCCCGCCCCCTCCCGCCCCCGCGCCCTCCCCGGCTCCCCAGCCTTCAGCTGGACGGGACCGCCATGCCCAGCGGGTGCAGGGCCTCGCTGTCCAGCAACCAGGTGCCTATTTGGTAGAGAAGCTGCGAGTACCAGTGGATGCCCGCGGCGCCCGGCGCGTCGGCCGCACCCGGCGCGGGGAGGGGCAGGTGGCCGCCGCCCCCGCCGTCGCCGTGGCCAGCCCCGCCGCGGTCCGTGCGCGAGGGCGCCAGCACGGCCAGGAGCGCGTGCGCCAGGCGGAAGGGCGCGAAGGCCCGATGCGCCCAGCCGTGCTCCTCGATGACCGCGTAGCACGACGCCAGCACCCGGTTGATAAGGATGGTGCCCTGCGCCGTGAGCGGCGCGTACGCGCCCGTGGCCTCTTCGCGCAGCGTCACGCTGTGCACGGCGGCCGGCAGGAGCCGGCGACCCCCGCCGCCCTCCGCCACCACGTACACGAGCTGGCCCGGGCGCACGCGGCTGGCGAAGAGCGCCCGGCGCCCCGGCGCGGCCCCCGGCGGCGGCCCCGCGCCCGCCCGCGCCTCCGGCTCCCCGGCCGCCGAGTCGTTGTGCGGCGCGACGAACAGCAGGTGCGCGGCGGTGAGCAGCAGGCGCTCGCGCGGCTCCCGCGTCTCGATCACGTAGAAGACCTTCTTGGCGCCGTCGTCGCGGTCCAGGAAGGTGAGGAAGTCGCTGTAGAGCAGCCGGCCCTGGTCGTCGGCCGCCAGCACGCGGTCCCCGGGGCGCAGCTCTCTCACCAGCTTGGTGCCGCCCTGCTCCAGGTGCACCGTGGCCGAGCCCGGGAAGCAGCCGCCGGACTTGGCCGCCACCGAATTCTCTGCGGGAGTTGGAGGAGGGAGAGAAGAGGGGACAGGGTGGTGAGCGCCCACGGGGAGGCACGAGTGGGGCAGGGGCGCGCGCGGCCCCGGGGAGCCCCGGGGAGACAGAGCCCCCGCGGGTGCGGCCGGCCTCGCTCCCGCAGCCCCACCGTCTCGGTGACAAATTCAGACGCAGACGCATTCCTCCACGGCGCTCTTAGGGGCGGACCGGCCGCGACAAGGGTCGGCTGGCGTCTCCGGCGGGAGGCCGGTTACGCTCCTTCCCTTCCGCCTTCCTCCCGCCCCAGCCCCCGGCTCGGCGCACACCCGACCTCGCCCTGAGTTCGCAGGGTGTTTGCTCTGCACTTGGATTCCTCCGGAAGCCTCCTTGAGCTCCCTCGGGCGCGGGGTGGGGGGGCACCTCCTTCCTTCCCTCGCCCCCCCGCCCCCGTTCCCGCGCGCGCCCCGCACCCCGGCTGAGCCGCGGGGACCCGTCGCCTGCCCGCCCCCCAGCGTCCAGCCCCGCCGCGGGCCTTGGTGCGGCCGCTTGCAGGGGACTGGGGGGCGGGGGGCGGGGTGAAAAATAGCTGTGGTCGTTGTAGCAACTGGACAAACATTCCAGGGAGCCGGCGGAGGTGCGAACACCCCGGGCTTGTGTGGATCTTCTAATTAAAATCCCATGAAGGGCCCAGCATTGTCGTCGCGCTCTGGGCAATCAACGGGAGACACTCTTGGAAGAGGGGCTACTTCCATCTCCCCCTCCCCTCTCTCGCCGCCCCCTCCCTATTTGCTCAGGTGCGCCCCCTCCCCGCCCCCCGCGGTCCGCGCGCGGGCTCTCCAGGCCGGGCCCCACAAGCTCTGTTTGCACAGCCAGACCTCTCGCCGCTCTCAGGACGCGTATTTGAATTTTAAATGGCGGGGCCTGCTCCGAGCGCGGGCAGCGGCCGGTTCTCAAGGCCCCCGGACTCCCCGCTTTCCCGAGCCCTCGGTCGCGCTCTGAGGCTCCCCGTCCGAGGACAATGGCGGGAGCGGGGCGGGGAGCGGGGCCGCGGAGGAGGGGCGGGGAGGGCTCCGCATTCCAATCTCCGGGATCATGCTTTCCGCAAACAGAGATGCGAGAGAGAATCTTCTGCCGGAATTACAGAGGGTTTTTAATCTTCTCATCGGTTTCTGCGGCATGAAGTGCGGGCCTGGCCGTGGGAGGCCCGCCGGCGCCCCCCGGAATGCGACCCGGGGCGCGGGCGAGCCCGAGTCGTCCAGTCGCACGACCCTGCTTGCCACGCAACGCCCCGCGCCCCGCCCGCGTGTGCCGAATGCCGACGAGCGGCTCCGCGCCCCCCCACCCCGGGGGCTGCCCTCCCCGGCCCGGAATCCCGGTCCCCGCGCGGGATTACCGCTGCTCACTTGCGAGGAGACCTCTAGGGACCCCCGCCAGGGGGACCCCGCGGGCAGGTTGGCCCAGAAGGGGGCCGCGCGCCCCGGGAGCGCAACCGCGAGGTCCCGAGAAGGGCGCATCCGGAGGCCTCCCGCCGCGGAGCCCCGCGAAGTGGGGGCACCGCTTGCCCGTCCTCCCTTTCTCTGGCTTGAAGCCCAGCCGGCCCCCCGCCGCCCCATCCACACCTTTTCTTTCTGTTGTGATAAGAAACCACTATTTTCCTTCCCTACCAAGTGTGTCTTGACACCTTGAAAGTGTTTTTCTACTAACACATGCTGCTAAGACAGTTTAGGAGACAAGTAGGCAACACGGGGTGGGGGGGGCTGCGGGGAAGGCACGGTGCCTCCGAAATTCACCGGAACTGCTCTGCTAAATGCACCAGCTTCTGCGGGAAGACGGAGAGATCCGCAGAAAGAGCCTGGGAGCTGGGAGGTCTGCGGTGGGTGCCGAGCCTTCCCGGCTCGGCTGTTCTCGCCAGCGACAGCATGTGGCGGTGTAGGCCCAGGCAAGCCACCAGCACAGGGCCGGCTGCCTGCCGCCGCAGACTCCCATCCTACTCCTGACCCCTGCCTGCGGCTCAGGCCAACCCAGCGGGCTCCTAATCAGGACGGATGCTCCTGGCTCCCGGCCTCCAGATGCTGGCAGCGGTAGCCACGGCGTTTAGCACCTCCCACCAGGCCTCTCCCCAGAGGCTTAGCCGGCCAGTTAGTGTCAGGTTAGTGTCCACAGACCCTTAGCAGGGAAGAAAGAGGGCCAGGGGCTTATACCCTGGGCAGACCCTCCTGGGCTGATTCTTAAGCCTTAAACAAGAGGAACGATCTAGGCCAGACCTAGCCACCAGTGCCCCAGCAAGATCCCTTCCCCCATCTTCCACCTGTGGGGGGGGGGAGCCTCCGGAAACGGGGTGGGGGGAGGTTCAGGAAGCCACATGCCCTCCACGGCTGGGCTTGGAGCCCCTCAGGCCTCTGCAGCTCAAAGGTAGGGGCAGTTCCCCACTTCTACAGGCTGCGACCCCACACCAGACACACGAGTTATCCCCCGGTTCCAGCCCTCCCTGCCCCTCCTGCTTCCCCCCAGCCCACAAGCATTTGTCTCTTGCCCTTGGATCCCACCGTGGGGCACCATGGCCACGACTCAGGGGCAGCTCTGGAGCCGTCAGGCGGGTGGGTGGGGAGGCTCTGCGGGCACCGGGCGGGGGCATGGGGAAGGCCGGGCCCGTCGCCTCACCTGCTTTCACGGAGCAGTGGATGTGGGCTTTGGACTCGTAGTACACCCAGTCGAAGCCGGCCTCCACGGCCAGGCGCGCCAGCATGCCGTACTTGCTGCGGTCACGGTCCGACGTGGTGATGTCCACGGCACGGCCCTCGTAGTGCAGTGACTCCTCTGAGTGGTGGCCGTCTTCGTCCCAGCCCTCGGTCACCCGCAGCTTCACGCCGGGCCACTGGTTCATCACCGAGATGGCCAAGGCATTCAGCTTGTCCTTACACCTCTGCGGAGAGAAGGGGCCCCGCAGACGTTAGTCCTGGGTCTGCCGCCCACCCCGGTCCCCACATGGTCTGCCTGGCCCAGTCCCTGAGGATAAGGGCTCCGTGGACAAGTAGGGGGACAAGGCCTGCGAGGCGCTCAGCTCACTTGGCGGAGGTGCACTAGGGGCAAGGGCGGGGTTGCGTCTGCTGGAGGCGCCAGTCCTCTCGCGGTCGAGGGACCGAGGGCCTGTCTCCAGATCTGAGCCAGCAGAGATCCTAGCATGGCCAGAGGAGGAGATGACATTTTTTTGAGACAAGTAAACTGCGTGTGTCTCAGACAGTGACGCAGGGCCTGCCAGGCACTGCCCCCCCCAAATGGCTCACTCCTCCCCAGAGATGCCCTCCACTCCCCTCCCACCCCTTTCCGTGGCCCCATTTCTCCACACCTGGGCAAGGCTCCACCCTTGGGCCCAGCTTGACTCCCTCACCAGGAGGCTGGAGAGAGGCCCAGTGTGCAACTTAGGAGAAATAAAGAACAGGCCGGTTGGTTCTCACAAAATGAGAAGCCTTGGGTTATCTCTGGACCCTCCCTCTTCGCCCTGTGCCTATCTGAGCCCCGGATCCCGCCTAAGGGCGGGAGGGAGGTGGGAAGCTGATAGCCACAGGGAGGGGGCGGGAGGGGGCCCAAGTGAAAGGCAAGCAGGTGAGTTATGATTTTCAGTGTGGGCCAGGCCTGACGACAGACATTCTTTATCTGGACGGCCACATTCCTTTTCTCCATAGCCCTCTTTTCTTGGGCTTTTCTGTGGTCTGATTGTGTCTCTTGTTTTCCTTAACCTGTTCCCTTCCTCCCCCCCTTGTTTTCTTGGCCCCAGAGCAGAATGGCGTCCTGCAAGTTTGAAGAGCAAACTTAAGAGGCGAAAGAAGGGAGGGCGCGGGAGGGGGCGGGGTGTGAGGGGTGGGGGATGGGGAGCCAGAGAGGCCCGAGGCCTCAGAACCTTTGGGGAGTACCCCCCACCCCACCGAGGAGGAAGCTGCCGGGGCTGTGCTGGCGGAGAAACACTGAATGCGCAGGACACAGGCGAGGGCCGAGTGGAACTCGGGGTTGGGGGAGCCTCCCCTGTCCTTCTAGGGCCACCTTCGGAGAAGGATGCAAGAGAAAGAAGCCGTGGCAAGTTCGCGTGTGTGTTTGCACTAACTCGCTACAGGGGAGCGTACAGTGGTGCTGGGGTGCGGGATTCAAAGGAGGGAAATGGTGGCGGGACCAGGAAGGGCTATTCCCGGGACAGCCAGACCCAGGGCAGCAGGACAACTTCAGGTTGACCTCCGCAGAGGGTAGGGCTGATCCCCGCCAGGGCTGTGGGACCCCATAAGCAGGGTGGAAGGAAGACTCCGTGGAGGACCCTACTAGCAGGTTGGGGGTTTCGACCCAGCGGGCAGGGAGCTCTGGCTGGTGCTGCTGTCCGCGCTTTGTGGGGCCGTGAAGACTGCGCAACAGGAAAGCGCTGTGTGTTGGCCGGCCATAAAAACCGGCCGTACGGTTGTAGGGTTAAACACAACAAATGGGGGGGGGGGGCGGCTAGGGGGCGGCCCTGCTAACAGGTCGGCGCTGGCAAGGTTTCTGGGCCCGCCAGCATCTTCTGTAATAACAATAATAATAAAAAAGTCAGATGGGCAGAGTTTAAGTGAGGTCATCTTGAGGATTGAACGCGTTTTACATGAAAATCAATCAGTAAACCAGGGTCAGTTCCGAGCCGGGCGGGAGGCCGGCCGCGCAGGCGCACTCCGCCGACACGCGCACGCACACCGCCCGCGTCCCGGGCCCCGCGGCAGCCCAGCTCTCTCCTTCTGGGGGTCCGATGAAGCCTCCGCGGCTCTCCGCGGGGCAGCTTGGCGAGAGGAGGGTGGGATGGGGAGGCCACGTTCCGGCCCCCACCGCCCGGAGCTGCGCCCCCAGGGCACGAGGTGCAGGGCCCCAGGCGAGGAGCCCCAGGCCGAGCCAGGCCCGAGCGGCGCCCCGCTCCCCGCGCGCCCTTCCGGGCTCCCCCAGGCGTGGCGCGGCCGCGGCCCGGTGCCTGCAGGACGCTCTGCGCCCGGCCGGCGGGAGAGGCGCGGGGCCCAGGCCGGCCAGCGATTCACTGGGTCGTGCGCCGCGAATCCGGCCCGGCTCCGTGCTGCCACCGTCAAGCGCAGCGGGGCCGCCGGGCCGGGCTTCTGGGCGGCGGAGGCCAAGGTGGTCCCCGCGTCTAAGCCCTCGCCACCTCCCCGGTCTCCGCAGCCGCCCCGTGCCCAGAAGCCCGAGCAGGACTGTCACCGCCAAAGGCCGCCAGGCTTTCCCAGTGCGGGGGAGGGGTGTCCCAACTTCAAAAGAGACCCCCCCATTCCCCACACACCTGTCTCCACGCCCCTGCCCCCACTCTGGGAAAGCGGACCCCTCCTATCCAAACAGGAACACCCTCCTCGAACCCTCCACTGAGCGCCGGGGCCGGCCACGCACACAGAAATCTACTCGGCGTGGCGTCCCCGACTGTCCCTCTCGCGGCCCTCAGGCCCTGCCCGGGCGGCCGCCTCCTGCCCCCCGGAGCCCCCCGGCCGCCGCGCCCGCGCCTGGCACCCGCGCCTGCGGGGCGAGCGTGTCTGTCTGCGCTTCCCCCTCTCCGAGTTAATATTAACCAGGAGCTCCTGCGTTCCAGAACTGCTCTGAAAGTTCCACCGGGGACGGTCTTGCCATGGTTGAGGGACTTGGGCGGCAGTCACGTTAGAGAGACAGACAGGAGAGGCGCGGAGGGACGGCCAGCCCGGGGACGAGGGACGCGCGCCCCCAGGGCAGAAGCTGGGTGCTGGTGTGAAGTGTGGGGCCAGCGGGGGAACAGGTCCCCGAAGAGCGCTGAGCTCTCGTGGCCGGGGAGGCGTTCCCGCCTCACCCCTTTGCCCCTGGCCCTGCCCTTCACCCCTGGTCCGCCGCCCCCGCCCCGACCCTTAGAGCTGGGGAAGAAGCGAGGGCGGGAGAGGGTGACCCGCAGGGCGCCGGGCAGCACGCCCCACCGGCCACCCGCGTTTTCAGGGGACATCTGCGGGGTGCGCGATACAATTCTGGCCCTGCTCTCCCCACCCCACCCCCACGTCGGCTGCCCCTCCCCCGTCCTTTTGTGCTGGGAATGGGAATGGCCACTGCCTAAGGGAAAAAAAGTATTTGTTTTCGTTTCGTTCGTCTGAGGGAAGTTGACAGAAGGTCAGAAGTTCAAATGCTGCCAGCGCGCGCGGCGGCCAGAGTGGCCGGCGCGGGGTCGCTCGGCCGTGGGTCCCCGGCGGGCGGCCGGAAGAGGGACCGGGGCTGGGGGCTCGGCGGGGCCGCCAGGCCCGAGGCTCCGCGCTGCGCCCCCGACGACCCCGACCGTGCCGGCCGTCGGAGTCCCCGTGGCCCCGGCCCGCGCCCAGCGCCGCAGCCCGGGCCGCGGGGACCGCTCGCCCCGGAGGAAGGGGCGCCGAGGTGCGGCCGCCGGGGTGCGCGGCTCGGCGCGCTCGCGGCTCCGCGACCTGCGGCGGGACCCGGGGGCCCCCTCGCCGGCGTCGGCCCCGCGCGCACGCCGACCCCGCGGGCTCCGGGACCTCCGCCGCTCCCCGCCCCGCCGCCTTCCCGGCCTCGCCTCCCGCTGCCCCCTGTTCCGAGGGACTCCGGGAAGGCCGCCTTCCGCGCGCGGGCAGCGAGGGGACCCAGGTCGGAGAAGTACCCGCAGCCGGCCGCGCCCCCGGCGCCCCGCGGCCTGCGCGGAGTTCATTGTCGCTCGCGCCGCTCGCGGGCACAGGCGCGCGTCCACACTCGCGGCCGGATTTAAGGTGGTCGCGAGCAGATGCGAGCGCGGGGAGGGGGAGGCCGATAAGGACCGGGTGGTCGGCGCCCTCGGCCCCTTCCGTCCGCTCCGGGCGGCTGCGCGTCTCCTTCCTCCGTCCGGCCTGGCCGCCCCAATCCGGCTGGGACGCGAGCGGCCCGGAGGGGGCTCCCCGCCTCGCCATCCCCGCCCACCCTCCCCTGTACTTGCGCCCCGCCGCCGCTGCTCCGTCAGCTGCGGTGCGCTCCGAGCCCCGCAGATAGGACTTGGCTGTTTTAATAGGGCAATAAAAAGGATGTTGACCTATATTTGCCAGGAAGTCCATTTCTAGCTCAGTTATACGTGCCTGGAGTTTCAGAAAGTCTACGGTTGGCGGGGAGACTGGCAGCCGGAAGGCTCGAGCAGAGGTGCGGAGGGAGGGGGGCGCGAGTTTGGCTGGGGTGCTCCGTTCTAGCCCCCTCCCGTTCACACCGAGGCGCTCCTCGCTGCGTGCCCGCAGGTTGGCCCGAGTGATGCAACGCCGGGAAGTTCTAAGTCCCTCCCCTCAAGGACCGCGGCCCGGGAGAATGGACGCGCATCCTTAAAGAAATATCAATACGTTCACACTCTGATGGGCACCGCTGCCCGGGGTGCGCCGGGAGTGGAGCTGCGCGAGGCACTCAGGGACCAGGCGGAGCCTGGGGAGCCCCTGCCTTTTGTCAGCACGGCCTCCCTGCTTTTCCCACTGGGCGTCTTTGGTGGGGGGCGGCGGGGTGGGCGTGCTGGTGGGAAAGGAGAGCACAGTGGAGAAGGGGAGGCGCGAGCTCCCCGGTCTCCTGCCCAAGGCTGCATTTGTACAGTGACCTGGAAGCCACTTTATGTTTAGGGGGATTTCTGCCCCCCCTCCCGCCATTCCCATTCCCAGTCGGGAGGGCCGTGATGCCCCCAGAGCCGAGGTCTCCCCAAGTTACGAGCCAGAGCTGGGGCAGGATGGGAAGGCCATCCCAGCAGGACAGTGCAAATCAGGGCCACGGGTGGACCACACCTGCCATCCTGACCCCCACCCACCCTAAACTTCTCCCGCTGGACCCCTCACCTCCGCTCCCCTCAGGGAAGAGGCAGGGGTGGCGGCCGGCAGGTGGGTGGGGAGGGAGAGGGCCAAGTCGCCCTGCTATCCGCCGGAGGAGCCCGCAGACTCGGTCCGAGTGGCTGCTCACACACAGCACCCCCCCCCCCCACTTCCCCGGCCCCGGCACAGCTGG